CACAGTGTCACGGGAGGAACACAGGGCGAGGCGCGTCGTTGTCTCCAAAGGGTTGGAGTGCGAAACTGGAGAGAGGCCACGATGCGATCGCGGCGCGCGCAATTTCAAATCTAGGAGCGCAGAAGTCGACGGTAAGTCTCTTAACATTGGACGGATGTCTAGATCGAATATGTTTATAGCGCGCAATTTCTAGCTGAATTTGATATAGGAAGGTGGCAAGGTGGCGTGGTCTACATTAAAGTTTGCGAAACAAAAACAAGAAATATACTCGGGACGACAAAAATATCGGTACAATAATCGATATGGTGCTTTTTGCTTTAAAGTTACGGGACTTAAAATCAAGGAGCCGGAGAAAACGATGAACTAAAAAAGCAGCGGGATGAAAATAAAATAAAAAAATTCACACCACAACACCACCCTGGCTGGCCAGGCCGGTAAATGCAAAAGGGATAAGCGCCTATGCAAAGTGACTGAGGGGCTCATCAAAGAAAGGCAAGGAGGGGTCGAGGTGGCGATCGAAGCGCAGGCAAGGGTTGCGTTTTATATGGGGACGTGCGGCTTTGACAAAAAGGTCGAGACAAAAAGAAGTTCCAGGTACGCCTCTTTTATTTGAGACGAGAGAGAGGAGATGCTCAGATGAGAGAAAAAAAAGAGGACCCACACCCTCCCTCAGGTGTGCACTCTCTGTCGCACCCCTTTGGTTCTTCCTTGTGCTTCCATCGAAGGGGTTGAGACTTGACGTGCGGATCAAAATGTTTTCGTGTAATTACTTATTGAAGACGGTCATTGTGTATTGCCGATCAATAGGTGAGTGCCTGCGCGAGTGCGTGTGTGTGTGTGCGTGTGTGTGTGTTTTGTCGGTGGTGTGATATCGGATTCGATCGAGTATCTGGCCATTGTTGCCACTGCGGTGTGTTTATGCAATGCGGATGCGCCAAAGGCGAGCCAAAGGGCCACGCGCGCATTGTGCGTCGTGTCACAGGGCGCACTTTATGTTCGCGATTACGTCTTATTGAAAGCTCCTCCATGGCACATTTTATTGAGTCATAGATAAGAGTGTGTGAGCCGCCGGTGCCCCCTTTCGTTTATGGCGAGGACTGGAAACCGCGAGACGCGCGTGGTTTCTGCGTCATGTTTGATTGTTTGGAGAGGTGTCAGGCCGCGAAATAATATACCGCCCGAAAAGACGACCGCTGCGACGACGACATGGCATGTCACCGCGTGGCAAACTGTTAGTATGGCAAAAATCACTACGCCTCTTTCTGGGCGATGGAGTGGGGTCTGCGGGGCTGATAAGGGCTGTGGCTTTCGTCATATTGCAAACGAGCTTGCCAGGCGAAGCAGACGAGGAAACAGACGGTCGCCGCGATATCGTGGAAAGCAAAGCCACACGCAACACTGATAGAACCAAGTCTTCTACCGGCTGACACTGGCAAGTGTGCAAATGCGACAAAAGTTGCATGATTCAATTTTCAGCAGTTGCACACCTACCAGTGTTCACCGGTAACATTCCCTTTTTTTAAAGTGAAAGTGACATGGTATTTTCATATTTTGAAATACATCTCCAATCAATTTCAAGAGTATATCTCCCTGGCACCCGGGTATTGTGCGTAGTACCTAAACGCTCCCCAAACCAGAACTGGGCACTGTAAACCAGCCACCTAGGATTTCAACAAAATGCTCTATAATTGAAAGCTTCCTTCAATTTTGGCCCTGGGCGAGAAGCGGTATTTTGATTTTCAAACCCATTTCATGGCACTTCCTGTCGGACGGGCTGCCCCCGAGCGAGCCTCGGCCCGCAGGGTGCCCCCCGACACCGGCCCGCAGGCGGTGGCCCCACAGTGAGCGTACATACAACACATTGACGCACGGTGACGAAACGTTTTTGTTTCAGACGAGTCGCCATTGGGGAGCCGACGCTGTTACCTCACCCCCAAACAGGCGACAGGCAGCAGCACCGTACTATGCTCCTCGGACCAAACGGGGCAAAAGAACGTAAAAAAATCCCAGACAAAAACCGCCTCGCGACACTTGACTTGCATAGCGAATGCCGTAGTAGTCTCCCCTTCACTTCTTACGCATAACAAACGCTTCTTTATTTGACGACGTCTTTTAACGACACGGGGCACAGTCTTGCACCACACAGGGGTACGTACCTAAGGCCCACAGACCAATTTTGATATGCTTGCAGGTAAAATTTTGACGGTATTCTATCTGTCAGCAGGTTTTCGCGGGCAGAAAATAAAAAATGGAAAAGAAATAATGCAATAATAAGCGCGCGATTGCAGTCTGCTGCACAGCCAGGCCGGGTGACGCATATCAAATCGCCTCGATCCATCACATGTCGGAATCGTCTGTCTCTCTCAGACTCAGAAACAACCTCCGCTACTAGTCCTCTCCCTCTCTCTCTCTCTCTCTCTCTCTCTCTCTCTCTCTCTCTCTCTCTCTCTCGTTCTCTTTTGCTCTCTCTCGTAGGGCTAGCAGGGTGGACCGCGTCTTGTCTGCTACTTCTCGTGACCATTCCAGATATGACTCTGAAGAACAATTATAAGTTAACCGACGGTTAAATTTTCCACGAGAAAAGTTGTAACGTTATTCAATTTCATAAAGTAAAACAAAAAAACTCCCATAACACGACGAACACTTGTAAAATTCTTCGACGGTTAGAAATAACCAAAATAGGTCTGGATAATCGGTGTTCTCTGCCAATTCGTAAAGTGTTTTTTTTTTTTTAAATTGATAATAAAAAGTATCTTGAATGCGCTGCGTTCATACTAAAAGTGCTACACTTAACGAAATACTCCCCCCCCCTCTTTTTGAGTTTAAATCATCCTCATTATAAAGGTTTCGAAATATTTCTCTCGATAATTACGCTTTCTGCTGAGAAAAGCGCAGCAGCGGCGTGGGTATCACACCGGGCGGTAAAGTTATGAGCTACTTGCCGACACCATAATTGATGATTACGACTAATTTACGTGTGTTGGCCCGCATTACCATATCCTCTCTTTCTCTCTCTCTCTCACTACCCGCCAAGGCGCGAAGAGGAAGACGCGCGCGTATATCCGCGCCGCGCTCTCTTTGCATACGCCGTCCTCATCACCATCCCGCGCGCAGCATCCCGGGTCCAAGGCGGCGAGGCGGGCAGGTCCACACACCATCCGCATTGAAAACCGTCCCGAATTGACCAGTGATTAATAGATTGATGGATGGACGGTATGAGGATGCTAAGTAGGTGTGGGTTTAAAGCAGCGAGCGGGCCGCGTGTGTTCCGCCCGGATCAATTTTCGCCCTAATTATGACAGAGGGAACACCGTGGGAGCTACCGCTGCGTACGGCCGTGTCTTTGGAAGATGGATTATGGTTTCCAGACGCGAGAGATGCAAATCATTACGTATCAACTAGTGCGATGCACGTCCACGTCGTACGTGCGGCTATCGACCTGGGGAGTATCGTCTCAAACGTACCGACCGTCCGCGTCTTTGTCAGCACCTTGACTAATATCGCACACAACGCCATAGAGCCATTTACATTGACAAACCCGTCCGAAAAAAAAAAAGGATTCCAAGAAGGAGCAGCAAGCAATCCCGGACGTGCAGCCGCCCACGTAACAGGGCACTGCAGCACCTACGCTACGCACCCATCCCTCTTTTGTCTGCCGTTCGTGCTTTTGTCACACGTCTTCCAACATGTATAAATATACTTTTAAAATACAAGGGTTCCGCCGCCTTGCAGATACGCAACACGGCAAGGGCGCGACGAATCTTGACCACGCAAAAGGGACCCACCACACAACGACAACCCACGCAAGGGATAAACAGATGCGTGTACCTTTCGAACGGAGGGGACTGTTTTGTCGTTTTCAAAAACCGTATAGCGCCAGACCCATAGCCAACGCCTCATTAAACCGTGCGAGTACGGCGGAGCTACTCTGCGCTGAATAACAAACGGGTGCGTCTTGAAAATAATGGATAAATTGTGGCGTAATTCAATTGAAAGTGGCTCAAATAATAAACGTGTTGAGCGTGACTGCAGGGATGGCTATCTGGCGCCAATGACCGATGACGCAATAGCGTAACAAAGACGTGAAAGGGGATGTTGTCGAATTCTATCCCCCCACTTCCCCGCTCGCTCCAACATCCCCGAATCCAGGCCAAAAAATAGTAATCATAAAAATAATAAAGATGCTAAAGTGCGTCGACCCCTAAGGGGGCAACCCTTCCAATAAGGGGCGGGGTGGACAGGCGGTGGGGGCGGGGGCGCCCCTTTGGGGGCGTTGACCTGCCCGAAGAAACCCATAAAACCCTTCGGCAGAGCCACCGCCGCCGCCACAGCCCCACCCCCACTCGCATGCCCCGTGCCGCTCCTCGCCACGCCCCACAAAAGGAAAACGAACGACCATAAAAAGGGGTGTCTTTATACCCGGTAGTGACAAGTGCACCAACGGGGGGGACCTGGTGGCGGACCCGGGCGGGAGGGGTTTGTTGCGTAACACACTGGAAGAAGGAGAAGACTGACCAAAAAAATACAAAAATGCAACTTTTAGCCTGTTGCTGCGGCTTTTTTCCTTTTCTTTTTTTGATGAGCACAGCAGACTGAGGTAGGGAATGGAGCCCAAAAGAAGACGAGTTCGATGACCTATAGGGAGGGGGAGGGTAATAGGGGGGCTATGCTTATCGGGTAGTAATATATAGGAAGAGGGCGCCGCGCAACGAAAATAACAGAAATGAAACAGTGAAACGATATGATAAGGCGAGAGACGTAACGCAGTACAAGTATTTGGCTGGGTCGACTGACGGGTCATCATCCGCCTGACCGGCTGACCCGGTGGCTGGCGCGCGGCGCGGGCTTGACCCCGCTCGAGGGCGTGAGAGAGAAAACACGGAAAAAAGTCGCGAGGGGGTAACGTTATAAAGTCGGGGGCCATCATATCGACGTTAAAAATGAACCATATAGTCACCGAAACTTTGCTTTATCCGATAAAAAGTCCAATCTTTACTCACCTCCACAGCGCCGTTCCACATGTAGTGCACGCCATCGCTGCCACCCGCCGAGTTCATGTGCTCGGCCATGACGGACATCCAGTGGACCAGCCCCTGGCCGTTGGGGCCGCCACCGCCCGCGCCCTTGGGGGGCATCGGGTGGCCCCCCGGCGCCTGCTGACCGCCATCCGCTTGCGACCACACGAACGCCTTCTGCAACAGGTGGGAGAGGGAGTCATTAGGAACATGTGAGGTCGCCAACCACATCAGTCTTATTTTGTGCTGTTCTGCGGTACGGTTATAGTGCATTGTTTTGCTGCCGGGGATAAGAACCAGAATCACACAGATTTATTCCCTCTCATTCACTCTTACTTCACTACAAACAGCAGTGTTTTTCGAATCATGTGATGTCACATTACATTACCTGTGAAAAGTGTAACATTCTTTTCAATGATACTGGCACGCATCACTTTTCATGTGACTATACAGTTTACCATACTTGGCCTGTCTGAGTCACGTTGAAGTGAATGTGACATCACGATCTAACCAATGTGAAAGTTTTGACATGTTATGTGACGTCACATATGAATTGAATAATAGAATAACAATGACGATTGGTGGAAATGGTGAATTTTACGACGTAGCTTTGGCTAAATTGTTTAGAAAAGCCGTCATAGTCACGGCTCAGACTGGGCTCTCTGGACTGGGCCTTCGGCGACGACGTGCCGCTCCGCTGCGAACACTCCCTGCTATGCTCGATCACTTGGAAAATTTGGAGATGCGGTCCGGCGGGGCGTGGCGCGGCGTGGCGCGTCGTTGGCGTTGGGTGCCCCGCTGTAGCGCGGACGGACGCCCCGCGATGACGCAGCATGCCAGGTAGGCCGCCGCCGACCACGTCCACGGCAGACGACGCGGGGGAGAAACAGGTGGAAGTAGAGGGGATAGAGGGGGGGGGGCAAAAAAACAACAACCGATCTGTTTCTAGAGCTCCGCTAGAGCTATGCTGCCACGACTCGGCTTCGGTTCGGTTCGCCTGATTCCCCGAATGAGGGGGTTGGGGGGGGGGGGGGGGGGGGGGGGGGGGGGAGGAACTTCCATTTCATGGCGATTTTCGGCCCGGGCAGCGGCCTCCATGCCGCGTCATAGAGCCTCCTTCCTGCAGCAGGGCTGGTCGTTTCATTGAACCCTCTGCGGTAGCGGCTTGCCATGTTGCCATGCGAGTGGTTTTGTTCAGGAGGGAGCAACAAATTGTAATTATTATTCATTTGTAGGCGAAAGATCACACGTAAAGCTCATAGAATAACAAAATAATTTGCAGCTTTTTAGAAACAAAACTTGGCGCCTAAAAACATCGCTTCTACCCGCGCTTCGACACCCCTTGCGGCGTGTTGGCTGTAGTTGGGCGCGCGCGCGCACGCCCACACACACACACACACACACACACACGTGAATAGCATAAAGGGGCGGGCCGCCCACCGCGCGGGGCCGGGCTTTTATAAGCTAATTACAGATCGATCGCCGTCCATTGATAACCTGTCAATAAGTGGATACAATTTGCTCTCCAACAACCCCTTTGACCGCATGGTCCTGGTCTAGCTCGCCTGTGTTCGTGTGTGTATGTGTGTGAATGTGTGTGTGTGTGAGCGCGCGCGGGCTACGCTTTCATAGACCGCTCTCCTCTCCCCTCACGCTGACCTGCTCTAGCGCACCCCCCCCCCCCCACACTCCCTTCCTCCTCCGACACTCCCACTGCTTTGAATAACAAAGGTCAAATAACCAATCAGCATTTCGAAAAAGCCCGAGGGGAGCCCCCGACAAACAGTTTAAAGTTTCCTATATGTGGTAGATTGAATGTCCTGTAATCTATTTTAAAAAATTATGTGGAATAAGTGAATGTAAACATTTCGGAAGGTGTGGTGTTACTCGGGAACCCCGAGACATATCCCAGGGCACAAGGAAGCAGTGGAATGGTCACTCGCTTCATAGTTGCGCGGGGTGGGGTGGCTGCCCTGCAGAAACCAAGCCAAACTGCCGCAAGAAAAGTATAAATCCTTTACGCCCTATAATGGTGTGCGGGGGGCGTGGGAGGAAGGCTGGGGAGAGGGGGAGGGGGACGGAAGAGCGCATAGGAGAGACAAGGGGAGGCGGATAAAAATGCAAAGGAGAGAGAAGGGAGAGACGGGGCAGACGCGGAAAAATAGACGCGGCGCACTGGAGGGGAAAAAAATAAGTCGGGAGAGCGAGAGAGAGAAAGGGAAAAGGGGGCGGCGGGGGAGAAGAGAACGACTGCGGACGCGGCCACTATCGCCCTTCTCTCTCTGCGAATCAATAAAGTTGTATTGTATCTCTCTCACGCACACACTCTCCCGACGTCACCCTCTCTCGCTCCCAATCCCAACCGCTTCCCTCTCCTTTTTTTTCCACGGCTACCCTTCCCTCCCCACCCCTCCCGGTGGTGCTACGCCCTGTAGCGCAGCCACCACCCCCTCCTCCTCCTCCACCTCCTCCCAGGTTGCAGCTCAAAGCCTTGTCATCAGCGAGGTGATTTCTGCTAATGGAGACCTAGTAGTCCAGCTACCTGGCGGGGTAGGGGACCCGCCGTCGGGGCGGGGTGAGGCGGGGTTAGGCGGGCCGGGCAGAGAGGTTGGCGAAAAAGGGGTTGAGTAGCAGTAGCCGTCGCGCCCCGCTCTGCTCCGCTCCAGATGCATTGTGGCCCGGGACACAATTAGCTGCAGTCTGATGGCAGCGCCGATACGGACCACGCGCCCCGTCTATTTGGCACAAAGTCTCTGCGGCCGCCGCCATTGTGACGGCGGTGATGACGATTGTCATCGCTACATAAGCGCCTTTTCTGCGACAAACAAAGGGCGGCGGGCGCGCGGTGCGTCGCGCGCGCACCCCTTGCCTACCTCTTCGGGGGGTGACGCCGGGCTGTGCAGCGGCGCCCGGCCCAGGGCGATGCCCCCGGGGAACGCGGGCGCCGACGACGCCGGCAGGTCCTCGTCCTCGTCGTCGTCGTCGTCGTCGTGCTGGTGGTGGTTGTCGGACGGCGAGTACGAGCCCAGCTTCTCCGTGCGCCCGAGCACGGCATTGGTCAGCAGGTGCTTGTACACCTCGGCGGGCAGCAGGAACTGCTTGTTGTTGTTATTGTTGTTGTGGGCGCCGGGGCCAGCGCTCGCGGTCGAGGACGACGTCGAGGAGGCCGACGACGCGTCGTCGGGGGACGGCGCGGGCGACGAAGCCACGTGCCGGCGCAGCTTGCCGTCGTCCTCGTCCTCGTGGATGTGCACCTCGGGCGCGGCGGGCACCTCGCCGTCATCCTCCTCATCCTCGTCGTCGTCATCAGCGGCGGCGACGACGACGTGCCGCGGCGCCGGCGTGGCCTCCCTCGGCCGGCGCTCCTCCTCCTCGTCGTCGTAGTCCGAGTCGCTGCCGCGGTCGGCGCTGCGGTCGCTGCAGGGGCCGCCGCGCGCCGCGCCGCTCTCCGACATGCGGGGCCTCCGGCAGCTCAGCGCGGTACGGCTCAGCGGCGGGGCCCAGACATAACCTCGCTACGGCGCTGCTAGCGCGGCGGGGGCGGCGGGCCCAGGCTCGGCCGCCATAACCTCCCCCGGAGCCTCGCGGCGCGCTGCTGCCAGCGCCTTGGGGGGGCCCCCGGCGCGGCGCCTTGCTCTGCGCCTCCTCCGCGGCGCCCTTCCCTCGCCTCCGCCGCCCTCGCGATCGAACCTACGACTGCTGGCGCGGGCACGACGGCGCGCGGCCCACGCGCGATATACCGTGAAAAAATCGTTTGAGCAGGCGGCGGGGGCCGCTGTCTGCTGCGGCGGTCAGGTGGGCGCGCGGCGTGGCGGGGCGCGGCCGCCTACCGCACGCTACCCCCCAGGCCGGCCAAGGGGGTAATTAGGAGGTACCCGCGGGGAGGGGGCGCGCGGGCGCGACCGGCCGCCGGCCCACTGCGGGGGCGTGGGGAAGGTCGGGGGAGCCCGCCCGCTGCCTCGCGGTAATCCTGCTTGTGGCGGTGGTGGTGGTGGAGGTGGTGGTGGTGGAGGTGGTGGTGGTGGTGGAGGTCGCGGAGGAGGTGGTGGTGGTGGTGGCGGCGGCGGCGATGACGGTGTTGGTCGCGTGTTATCGTACACCGGCGGCTAAAAGACCACGTGATCACTGCAACGCGACCGGGGTATGTCGCACGCGACTTGTCGGGGATATGACCGACGCAAAGCGTGACGCGACGTGTGGCGGGTACAGGTGCGCGCCTAGACCGCGAGAGACGACGCCGACAACGGTATGCCGGTGTCCGCGAGAAAGGAACTTCCGCTTGCCTCTCCTGCCCGCCGTCGACTCCCTTCCCTTTCGCGAGCAGGCTCCGCCAGTCCGCCCTGCGCCCCGCCCTGCCGCCCAGCTCGACGCGAACTAAGACATCGGCCCCCAGTACGCTGCAGCCAGCACCGCCAAGAAAAAAAAATACGTCCACACAGAAAAAAAAGAGAGAAATAAAAAATGGAATAAAAGAGGTGGAGAGAAGATAGAGAAACAGAAAGGGAGAGAGAAAGCCGATTCCAGGCGGCGGCGGCAGCGAGTGTGGACGGGGGGAGAGAGAGCGAGAGAGGGAGCGAGAAAGGGAGCAAGAGAGGGGCGCTATACGCGTGTGTAGTGCAGCGGAGAGAGCGAGAGAGAGCGCGCGCGCGAGGGGTGGGGTGGAGCGCCATAGCCCAGGGGGAGGGGGAGTCGGAAGGGGGTATATAAAGGTATATATACAGACTTGGATGTCTGGTGAAGGGGAAGCGGAGCGGGGGCTCGGGGGTAGGAGGCAGGGGGAGGGGGAAGGGTGGGGGAGCAGACGGCCGACGCCATGGAAGGGGTGGCGAAAGGAGCGAAAAAGAAAGAGAGCGGGGGGAGCGGCGGTGGCGCCCTGGAGAGCAGAGGGGGGTGAGGGAGCGAGGGGTGCGCGAGGAGATAGAAGAAAGGGAGAGGGGGCTGGAGGACAAGGAGAAAAAGAGAGAAGAGGAAGGGGAAGTAGGAAGCAGAGGAGGTAGAAGAAGAACAAGAAAACGGGAGAGGGAGCTCGGACATCTAATGCAATGTTACATTGATCTCGAAATAAACCCCCCCACACACGCAAGCGCGACCAGATTGTTGTTTTTCCATCCCCCTTTCTAGCTTTTCTTTCTCGTGCCATCCTCCTTATACTCCCTCCAGCCTCTGCTTTTCCTCTCCCCGATGTGTTATTTTGTTTCTTTACGGCCATAAAGAAAAACTTTTTGATAGAAAAAATAAATAAACGATAAAAGAAAACAACGTGCGCGCGCGCGAGAGGGAAAAGGCGCGGGCGAAGAAAAGGGCGCAAGCTGAAAGGGGGCGGGAGGGAGCTGGAGTGGGAGGGGGCGAATGGGGAGAGGGGCAAGGGAGGAGAGGGGCAAGGGAGGAGAGGGGCAAGGGAGGAGGGAAGCAATGGGGAGTTTGCGAAAACACACATTTCATCCTTATTTTCTTTATACTGGTCATGCTGCTTGCGAGTGTGTCTGTGTGCTTTCCTTCCGTATTTTTCTTGCGCGCCAGCCGACAACGTCCTCACAACTACAATGGTCGGCCCTAACCCGGGGCTCGCCCCCGGGGCCACCCCCCCCCCCCCAACCCGCGGGGCAGCTGGTGCTGGGCTGGTGCTGGGCTGGTGCTGGGCTGGTGCTATGCCCCGGTGCTGGGCTGTAGTCCTGCCGCTGCTCTCAACTAGAGCAGCCGAGTTCAAGATTTACACAAAACACAGAGGCGCAGCAGAGAGCGGGGCTGGGAAGCGCCCAGAGAGGCGGGGTCAAGAAGTGTCACAGCCAGGCGAGCCGGGCCCGGCCGGCCAGAGCCAGCCACCTGTTGAGAGGCCAGCGTTCTAATGACGACATGCACCGCAGTGGCGGCGCGCGCGCAGCCCCGCTAACGAAGGTCAGCTCGGCCGCGTCTCCGCTCCGCTCCTTGCCGTCCCGGCCGCCCCTCTCCCACCCAGCCGCTCGAGTAGCGCGGGTCGCCTATGGCGCCGTTCGCAGGCGCTCGCCTCGCCTCCGCGCTGCACCGCACACAAACTGTCTGCTGCTGCTCCAGCTCATGGCTAGGCCGTGCTCATGCTAACGTGCGCCAGCGGTAAAGGGAATGGGTGGAGGGAGAAATATGACGGGGTCGCAAAACGACCGGAACTCCACAGGAGCCCCATAATATTTTTACCCCAGGGTGCAAATATCATGAGGTTCCCATTAACTCTAATGGTATGGTACTGATCCATTGGGACCCAATGATATTTGTACCCCTGCCCCTTTTTCGAAGGGCACGTTAGTAATGAATACGATCTCATGGAGCAGGGGATATCTCGGGTCTCTAAAGATCCTATGGCAGAGGTGCAAAGCACACGCGAGCAGACCCCAGACTGTCAACCCGAGGCATGCCGGCGTCCTCCTGAGCGCCGCGCGCTGGCACGCCAGCACGGGCGGACGAGGCGGCGGCGGCGGCGCGCGATCCTGCTGCATCTCGGCCTGCTCCCGCTGCTGCAGAATGCAGCGCCCGTAATGGCTTCCTATACATTAAATTTTATGTGTCTGCTGCTCCTCTTCTCCGTCGTCCGTCCGTCCGTCTTGGTCTCCCTTCACTCCTGAGTCTCTCACTCTCCATTTCTTTCCCCTGCGCCCCTCTCGCTTGCAATGAGCATGAGACAGGATATGGAAGGCGGCATATGATTCGCCTCAGACAGGAGCAGGACGGGTGTACTACACGACAGGACCACCGTAGCCAGCCTGTTGCTTGTTGCTCTGCTTCGCCTCTTGCTCCTCACACATGTGAGATCAACTTTCCATTTCATACAGATTACGTGCGTAAAAAATAAAAAAAAAAATAAAAAAACACACCAGGGAGGGACATTAAAAAGTAATACGGACGCGAGAACCTGTGGGCGTTGGTGTGACGCGGATAAGGGTAAGACATCGACATGCCATGCACCCAAAAGGGAGAGTGAACGACGGAAAAAAAAGAAGATAGGTGAGGGCACCGCGACCGCACCGCACATATGGCAGACGGCAGGGGTTGATACGCCCCCCCCCCCCCTCATACCCCTCCATCGGCCCCTCAGGCATGATCAGGCCCTGATTCCATCCCACTCATTCACTTTCGCCCTCGACACGGGGGCGCAAGGTGGGCAGGGGCGGCCGAGCCGAGCACCCGGAGGGGGGTAAGGAGGGCGGCTAAGGTTATGAACAAAACGACCCGGGCGGCGGATGTTTTACAGCTGCTTTGCTCGCTTGCATGCGTGATGCACCCCGCAGGTCGCTGCTGGCTCGATGCATCTCTCTCTCTCTGACACACACACATACAGCCAATTTCCTATATGATATATTATTTTGGCAACGAGGGGGGCGGAAGCAGACGGGAGGGCCACATTGGCGGCGGTTTGGCGCGCGCAACAAAAGAACAACAAACACACTCTTACCTGCCCCCCCGAAATCTCCTTCTCTGTCGCACCAACCCTTTCGCACGACAATAACAACGCGACTGACAAAGAGAGACAGGCGGCGACCACACCGACGATGTCGCCGTCGTCGGCAACGTCGTGTGAGATGCGCGCGCGATGCGGCCAATCTTATTATTTCGCAGTTATTTTTTTTAATGTTCGCGCTTCCTTTGTGCCCCTTTACCATACCCCGCGCACCGTCACACACCACTGCTATTCTCTCCTCTTTTGTATGTTCGGTCGCATCATTTTCGTTTTTTTTTTCTGGCTCGTAGATGATGAGTGAGTACGCGGACATATCGTGTGTGTATGTGCGCGCGCGCATGTGTGTGTATGTGTGTGTGTGTATGTGTACAAGGGGAGAGATGGGGGCTCATCTTCTTGTTTGCAGGTCCGCCCACTTTTCGCACCCCAACTGCCAGGCCCCCGGTGGCGGCAGCTTCCTCTGTCATGGGCTGGCTCGGCCAGCTCCACCCCACCCCGTCCACGCAAAGTCCGATGGCGCGAGGCAGAACCGCATAGGCTCGACCTCGAGCGCGGGCATAGGGTCCTAACGGTCATCCATCCCAGGCAACGACAATGCCGCGTGGCGAATCTGGCGCGCGCGACGCCCAAAAGACCCTCAAATTACCAACAGACTCGAACACCCCCGCTCCCTCCTCAAGTCTAGTCCAATCCGTCTCCTATCTACGAAAAAAAATAACTATAAAAAAATTGTTGAAATACCCCCGGGCTTGGCGTCCCGCAAAGCCCTAGCAGGTGCCATCGCAGGTTACCACTGTCAAAATTGTTCGCAGGTTTAACGGTTGAGATTTTTCATTAAAAATGTAGCTAGCTATAGCTACAGCTTATAAGTTCTACCGATCGTAAATTTACGACATAATTTGTAAATCTTAAATTCCGACGAAAAATATTGTATGTTACAGAGATATTTTTCAGTGCCAGCGCTGGCGTCACGTGACGGCCCAGGGACATTAGTGCCGGGCAGATGACACACTAATAAGCAGGTAGCGTTGGCTCCTCCGCCGCGAGACCGTCGCCGACCTCGTCACCGTCATCTTGTTTCCCACCACGCCCACCGGATTGGAACCCGGGCGGCAGAGGCGGCGAAACGGCGGCGGCAGGGGGCGCGCTGAGAAAGGGTTATTAGCAGCAGCGACACTGCCTGCGAATACAGAAACGACACCACGACCGCCGGGGTCCAGATCATCATCACCATCACCACCGGCATCATCAACACTGGGGTGACATCATCATCAGAAGCATGAGCAGCACCAGCAGCACCACCACCAGCGGCCGAGCCAGCGGCAGCGGCAGCCCCTGGCGGCGGCTAGCAGCAGCCTCCCCTTTGGCCCGGTCCTCCCAAACACACCGACATGACACTGCTGCATCGGTGCAGCAGCAGCAGCAGCAGCAGCATTGGCAGCGGCATAATCGATAGCTTTAAAAAAGAATTACAGGCCATTCGGGTGGAACGCGCGCACGGCGAGGGGGAGGGGTGGACAGTCCTGCATAGCGCTGCTGCTGCTGCTAGTGGCACAATGGTACGCGAAAGTGATTCTCACATGGAATCAAACTTTGCGCGACCGAAATATCAAACATTTTTTGGAAAAATATGTTTTCTTAAGTTCAAAGTATATAACATAACACAACACAAAATACTCCATGCAGATAACCGCACTTAGTAAGGGGAAGGCACCGACACATCGCACACGGCAGCCCGTGTTCTTTTTTCTCCTTACTCGTATGTTCAGTGTGTCCGACCGCCCTCAGTCGCGCGCCAACTGGTGCGGAACGAAAGGGCGCATATGCGAGCAAGCAAAGAAGGAGGGGCGTAGCTGGGGGGAGGGAGGGCGGGGGGCGACACATTGCCATCGCGCGAACCCCGGAGCCCCTCATCAAACATTAACCCGAGTG